GCATAGCGTATAACGCCTATCGCTTATCGAAAACTCAAAACTCGAAAATCGAAAATCGCATATCGCGTTATGCACATAGCGCATAGCGCATAGCGCCGGGTGCCAAAAGAATCATGTACATTTTACTATAGATGTCATGCCGAGAAGCCACAGAACCATAAAAGTAAATGCAGTAGCATTGGCAACACTGGTTGACAAGTGTCAACCAATGTCAATGTCAATGCTATTCTCTGCTGATTGCTGGCTGGCAAGAACGACTCGCGTCTTGTAATATACTAAACAAAACAATACAATTTATAACATGTTAGAAAATTCTATATCTAGGTTACTCTAATTTTAGCTCAGTTTCAATCATTTGCACTATTTTTAATGGAGAACTTTTCAAAAGTGGAAAAAATCGGGGAAGGAACTTATGGAGTAGTTTACAAAGCAAGAGATCGAATCACTGGAAAAGAAATAGCTTTAAAGAAAATAAAACTGGAGAAGTAAGTTTTGGCGCCAAAATTGACGTTTCCTTAGAAAAGGAATATATTCCTTGCGATAGGTTATTTTTTTTTGTACAGATACAAAGCATTAGCATTAGCATTCATCTTGTGTTTAAGTACCCATGCCTACTCTAATGTTGATAGCTTACTTTGAGTTGAGTTTTTAACATGTCATGAAAAGTTTCGTATTTCAGAAATCGAAATCAGAAATAATAATAAAAAATATAGCCTATCTTCTCCTCACTTTTTAATGGTAAAAGAAGAGATTTTTGAAATAGGTTAGGTAGTTTGTAGTTATTTTAAAACATACAAAAATACAAATTTATTTATTTATTTCTCTTTTATCTCCCTCTTTATAAATCTTCCCTTTTTATGGTATTAGTATTGATATGGGCATATTATTATATATTAGAATACAAGCTTTCGCCCGTGACTCCGTCCATGTGGAATTAATAAAAAACAAAAGTGAGTAGCCTATGTGTTCTTCCAGACTATCCTCTAAATCTATGCCATTGCCATTTCATCGAAATCCATTCAGCCATTTGGGCTACAAACTCTAACAAACATCCATCCATCCAACCATCTAAACTTTCACATTTATATTAGTAAGAGTAAGACTATTGTATATTGTATATTGTATATTATGCAAATAGCAAATATTTATCTCATATAACAATATCAACAATTCATTGCACTTAAGGCATAACATTAAACAAAATAAATAAAACAAGGTAAAAACTTGCACTGATCTTACCTGGAGGTATGTAGATGGCATGAGCACATCTTTAATCAGTACCTTTGGCCAGTAGTAGAGCTAGCAGCAATAGCTGTGTGTGTTAGTGAATGGCTGGCTCTCCCCGTCTGGCCCCACAACTGACTGAATAATGACAATACATGTATCATCTGATTCTAATATTCTTTGGTATTTGAGTAAATATATAATATATGAAGGGAAAAGCAGTGATTACAATCAACTTCTTGGTAATGTGAAGTCAGAAACTGCCTGTTATATTTAGCTAATTAGGTGGCTGCTTACTCATTTGCCAATCTATACTGTTATAATAAAGCGTAAACACACACTTCTTTGTTGCCTAAGATGTCAGCAATTTTTAATAAAAAGCCCTACACTTACGTCATGCTTTAGGCTATATATTTTCACGCCGTTAAACTTGGGTGGTGAATATTTTGGATAGAAACCCTAATGTGGGAAAGAGACCTTAAGTTGCTGCCAACAAGGAAGCAAGGTTGCCATCGTCATGTCATTTTGACATTTGCAATTGATAATTTGATACATGAAAACAATAAAATAAAATTTTCATAATTTTATGCGGATGAAGTCGCACAGGAACAGCTATGTATACATAAAAAATTAATACAATGTCATATATGGCATGGTACACAGCACAATGTCCACAGTGAGCCCGAGGGCGTGCCGTCGACGGCGCTGCGGGAGATCTCGGTGCTGCGCGAGCTGAAGCACCCAGCCGTGGTACGACTGTTGGATGTGCTGCTGGTCGACTCCAAATTGTTCCTCGTCTTTGAATGCCTGCACATGGACCTCAAACGTCTTATGGATCTCACCGGTGGACCTTTAGATTTAGATCTAGTTAAGGTAATAGAGGAACTCCTGTTTCACTTAATGATATGAAATGAAATGTAGAAAGAGTGTGATTAGACAAAAGGCGTGCATTTAGTGGTGGTGTGTGGTGTGTGTGTGGTGCGGCAGAGCTACCTGCGGCAGCTGGCGGAGGGCGTGGCGTACTGC